AAATTTATAAAAAAACAGAAACATTAAATAACAAACACGAAGATAAACACAAAAAAAAACACTAGGAAAACGCTAATTTTAAATTTCTTTTTTCTCTACTAAAAACATCGATAGCAGACAACATAATTTTTTTTCAGTCAACCTAATTTCATTCATTATTCGCTCCGTGCGTGACAGCAGCGCCAACTATTTTATGAACTAACGGACGATATTTGCGTATACTGACAATACAATTTTTAATAGAGTTCGTAATTAAAAAATATATATGTTAATTTTAATAAAAGTATATGGATTTGTAAAACAAGTGAAAATATTATTATTATTATTATAATATATTTTTATTACTTCAACTAAAAAAGTAGTATAATCAATAAAAATCAATAATAAAAAATAGGTAGGTATTTACGAGAAAATGTATGAGATCTTACCTAAGCCTAATAAGGTGTCATTAAAGAATAGGTTAAATAATGTCAAAATAAAAACGTTACCATTATATAATAACGTAGAATTAAAACATATTAACAAAAAAAATTGGTATATAAGCGATTTAAAACCTTTTCTGATGTCTATTATTTCCAGTATTACTGTTATTATTACAAAAATAAAGGTTTTTTTCTTCTTATTATACAGCTGTCCATTTATTTCTTTGATTTAATTTCTATTTTGCTACTCTAAATTTATATAATTTACAGTTTTTTTGCTTGTATAATTTGCAACATAGCAACTCCGGTTGCTCATTTTATTTTTTTAAACTATTTTTTTAGTAAAAAGTAAAATGTATACGTGTATTTGATACGCCAAAATTACAAAATATCGCCCTAAAGAACTCAAATTATCCGCAGCTAGCGCTAGTATCGCTCGTACATAACTTCGTACTGATCGAATAGACCGCAGCCATGTTTTAACATGCCTTTACGTGCTAAACGTTCTTTCAATTAACTCTGTCGATGGAGGAAGAGCGATAAATATTTTTTAAACCGCTGGATAAAATTCACAATGTTTGGACGCTATATCATTAACGAAGAGCCCATTGTGTGCAGAAAGCTCTTTCGTACTCCAGTTTGGTATTCACCTTCAAAATTGTCGATTCCAAATTTTTATACTACTTTCATTTTCTAATCGGTAGTGAAGAACGTATTATGTTTTTATGCTTTTGGAAAGCGTGATGTAAGCGACGTAATAAGGGAATCCAGATATGCAATAAATATATTCAACCTATAATATTCTTCAACTATATTAGCCTGAATATAATTATTTCTATGAGATTGTTGTTCGTAATGCATATCTTACTCGTTGTTGATTAAGTCGTTAAAGCCAGGAGAGCAACTGCCCCCCTTGCCCCCTACCCCCCTAAACGACGCCCATGAGTGAATGGTCGAGTGGGGAATCCCACCAAAGCATCAGAATTAATTTTAAATAATTAAATTAAATTCAAAAGGAAAGACTTGTATTTCGTGCAAAACTTTTTAATTAATAAATGCAAAGCGCTTTCGGCTTATTTGCCATCATCAGTGCTTATCTACAAAAATTGTGGATGTAAACTTACAATTTAAAAAAATATGTTATAAAATCTGAATAAGACTTTTAAGTCAAAAGTTAAAATTGTATATATACGATTGTTTGAACATATTAACAATTACAAGAAACAAACAAAGTGACAAAAAACTGGTATTGGGAATAGTGAGTATGGGATAGGCCCTTACAAATCAAATCTGATCTGATCTCCAGAAGTAAGTTAGCTTGTGTGGAATTAAGGAATTATGCCACCTTCACTATTCACAAAGTTGAAAACAAGTTAAAAATTAAGTTAAAATTTAAGGAAATTTACAAAAAGAGGGTGACTGTAGAAGATATATTGAAATTTGAATCTAAAATACAATATTTAATATGAAGAAAGTTAAACGCAGAAGGCCAAAGTAAAAAAAAACTGAAGGTTTTTTTTTTATATATTTTATATACATTATAATTATAGAAAAAATTCTACCTACTGTCCACAACGTATCCAACAAGTTCCTGGTCATCCTTACTCCCAAAATTGGATATTTCGCGATATTTACAACTTGCTAAATCATAATCTTAGTATTATTAATTGAATAAAAATGAACAGATAAATTTAAATTTGAAAATATTAATAATACTAAGATTATGATTTAGCAAGTTGTAAATATCCCGAAATATCTTATTTTGGGAGTGAGGATGACCAGGAACTTGTTGGATACGTTGTGGACAGTAGGTAGAATTTTTTCTATAATTATAATGTATATAAAAACGGGGTACAATGTAACGAGATTGCAGATAGTCTTGCAAGGAAAGGGGCTCAAACACCCTTTGTAGGACCTGAGCCGTTCTGCGGTATCAGCAGTAACATAATATTAGAAGAGATTAAAAAAGAATTGGGTAGTAGAAGAACCGATAATTGGAAGAATCTCTTGGGGCTAAGACAGGCCAAGATGCTTCTGGGTGAATATAACCAAAAAAAAGATCGGAAGCCTGCATCTGCCTGAGCAAGAACAGGCTACGTATTGTAACAGGGATTCTTACCGGGCACTGCCGACTAAAAGGACACCTAAGTAAACTGAGAGTAGTAGAGGATAGTGAGTGCAGATTCTGTGAGGAGGAGGACGAAACCTCCATTCACATCCTAACTGAATGTGGAGCACTCCAGAATCCAAGGGCACTATATCTAGGAGGATATCAAATAGAAGAGGGAGACTTACCTAACTTGAAGCCACTTCAAATCCTACACTTCCTTGAGAAAATAGGATTGGAAGGGTCGCTATAGGCATTGAGACATTTCCTTAGTGCAGTGGCGACAGAAGGGGGCACAATAGATCTTTTAGGTCGCAGTGTATTAACACCCCATTATCAACATAACATAACATAATGTATATAAAATATGTAAAAAAAACCTTCAGTTTTTTTTACTTTGGCCTTCTGCGTTTAACTTTCTTCATATTAAATATTGTATTTTAGATTCAAATTTCAATATATCTTCCTACCCTCTATTTGTAAATTTCTTTAAATTTTAACTAATTTTTTAACTTGTTTTCAATTTTGTGAATAGTGAAGGTGGCATAATTCCTTAATTCCACACAAGCTAACTTGCTTCTGGAGATCAGATCAGATTTGATTTGTAAGGGCCTATCCCACACTCACTATTCCCAATACCAGTTTTTTGTCACTTTGTTTGTTTCTTGTAATTGTTAATTTATTCAAACAATCGTATATATACAATTTTAACTTTTGACTTAAAAGTCTTATTCAGATTTTATAACATATTTTTTTAAATTGTAAGTTTACATCCACAATTTTTTTAGATAAGCACTGATGATGGCAAATAAGCCGAAAGCGCTTTGCATTTATTAATTAAAAAGTTTTGCAAGAAATACAAGTCTTTCCTTTTGAATCTAAACTACGTGCACACAGCTGTCAACCTCTTTTGGTTATTTTAATTAAATTAAATTAAATAATAAAAAAATCCTGCCAACGCGCAACAGTGGGATTCGAACCTGGTACCCTTGGATCCGCAGGCAGAGACCCTATCACTGAGCCACCCACCCCCACTTGAAGTTATTTTAAATTCTTTGTTGACCGTGATATATCAAAATCTTAAATTGACTAATTTTCTCATTTTTCTTGAATACAAATTTTCTTATATCTTTTTTAATATCTATTTAATAGTTTATATTTGTTTAAAATGCTTCTACTTTTTATTTAATAATTACCGCAATATTAATTTAATAAAATTTATTAAGCTGAGACCGAAGCTGCTGTTCATTTGGGTAGCTTCGCCATTTTGGCTGCTAAGTTTGGTCTGCTAAGTTAACACCAGTAAGTAACTAAATATAAATAAGAAACATTGATTTTCGATTTTAAGAAAATATGCCTACTGAAACCACAGATCGTCCAACTGATCAATAGCAAAGATCACATAAAATATTTTTTTCCACGTTCATGCAAAAAACAATACTTTATTGAACTATATTTAGTGAAAAAACTGGTTCTTTATTGCACTAGTGCAATAAAAATTTTATTGCACTCATCTTTTTTTTTACTACAGCGTTTTATGGTCATGACAAACATAAATATTCAAATCGACGCCAAATATTTAGTCCATTTTCATTTTCTGTGAGATTGTATTACGTTTTAAAAAAATTTAATATTGAAAATTGTACAAATTGTACATTTACTTTTAATATTAGTGGCAAAAACAACGTTTAAGCTTAATTATTTTTCATAACAAAGTTGTTCCTAAAGTTTTGGTTAAGGTATCTTTCTTAACATAGTTATAGTACTTTTTCAATGACAATCGATGCTAATTATTAGTTATTAAATATGTTGCTATTAAATTACGCTTTTTATTCTTCTGCACTTAGTATCGTCTAAATAAAACATTTTTTAGTATTTGCATGAATGTAGAAAAAATATTCTATGGTCACTATCCAAAGTAGGCTTTTGCACAACTGCAAAATTGACATTTTACGCGAACTGACATTAAGTGACAGCTTTGTCGCTCGCCGAGCGGAAAACTTGACAGTTTTTTTGCTCGCCTAATTTAAATAAGATATAATATAATAATATTTCTTTTTAATAAATGATTTTTAAGATATTTGTACGTAGTTTGATGTTTTTGTTTTATTATCCAAGTTAACATTGACTTTGAATATCAACTCTGTTTTCATGATTAACGTAGATATAGGAAAAACACTTTATACACTACTTTTCAGTTTTTATATCTGTTTCTCAAAATAATGTAATCTTGTGTGCATTTTGAGCGGAAAGTTCGTTGATGCTTTCGACAAATTGCCGCGCGGCCAACCTTCTGTCTCAAGCGGAGAAGCATCACTTTTCGCTCTTAATACACAAATAGCTATTTTTCAACATTCACCGGTTGTTTATAAACGTAATTCAGCTGCTAATAATAATTTAAACGAAAAGACAATAACTCTATCTATATCCACTTGTGTGTTAGCACTAAAGTTTTTCATTTATTTTTTTGTTTTTTTTTTAACTGTTACTAAAGTGAATCACACTGTATTTTCATAGTCACAGTATAGCTTCTTTTGTAATTTTATAAACAGCTAATACCACCAGTAAAGTTGTGTGTTGCGTATAACTGATATTTAGTCATTTATATTTTCTTGAAATTTAACCATCCATATTAAAATAAATTACTTTTAACCTTTCAACTTTTTGCCAGCGCTACCTTCACAGCGCCAGCGGTAACCTTATACCATACTCCGAGAACCATTACCCATATTACCTATTCGTCGGTGGGAGGAAAACTGAAAGGAAGATCGTATCTTTACTTAGGTACCATTGCCATTCAAATTTACTAAACGAAGAAGTTTAGAACCAGTTGGTTCCACTGCACCGTTGATTGGATTGTTGGTACCGCCTAAAGTAGAACTAGTGCGCAGTTTGTGATTTAAATTTGAAAGTGTAAACAATCATGAAGATTCTCGTGGGAGCCGTTTTATTTACTTTCGTTTTTGAAAAAAGTAAGTCAACATTTCATTTTTATTGTTTTGAATAGGTAATAAATAAATAAATAATTCTTTAACTATTTGGATACATAGTTCAAATAATTACCCATTATTTAAATTACTTTCACCTGCGTTTTTCATAATGGGAATGTTGTTAAACCTTTGTTATTTGTAAATACGTTTTAATTTGAGGAGCGTGTCATTTAAAAATATTAAATAATAAATAAAATTGCTTTTTTTAATTTCATGTTGTTATTGATGATGTATGTAACGTATGTTATTACGAAAAAACAGGAAAAACAAAAACGAATTTGTAATTAATTTAGAAAAATAGAAAAATAACTGAAAAAGGGAAGGGATATAATTAGAAAATCAAATATTAAATATGGAAAATCAAGGTATAAATATAAAAAAAAAGAAATAAAAATACATGGAAAGCAACATACAGGATGTCCGAAAATTTCGTGTATATAGATTAATAGGCACAAAATAAGTTGATTTAACCAAACCTTATACCAATTTGCTTCGTTAAATAAAAATATCCGTTTTTTTCTTTATTCTCCAGAATTCAGCCGTTTTACGAATATTTGGTGTTTTATAATCTATTAAAAGAAGCAGGAATAATTTTTCTATTACGATCATAAGCATCTTATTAGGGGGAGGACATAGACAGTTTTCCTAATTTTTATATCTGCATGTTAATTATATTAATATGTTAATTATTGTGGTGTCACTAGTATTTTATAAATAAAATCTTAATGATACAGTTTATCTGATTATAAAAAAATTACAAAATTTAGTAAATAGTAAACATAACGCAATCAAGATTGTACTTTAACAAAAAAAAAAAATAGTGTAGATGTACAATACTAAAGAAATCCGGGTAAAAATAATAACAATATATACAGTATGGTTCAAATGAAAGGAATAAATTCATTATAATGGAAGTAGTTGGTTTTTCGAAAAAATGCTCGGACAGGTCAATTTTGTTTACTCAAAGCACAATTTTTTAAATAGAATTTAATTTTCCCCCACTTCCCATTTTTGGGCAGTGACGTCATTGACAATTTTTTTAAATAGTAACCCCAATTTTTTTTCTTAATTTTGATAGATCTTGCAATTTCCTACTCGGAAACATAATATTTGAAATATCTTACCTAACAATTTTTTTGAATAAAAGTTATTTAAATATCAGACACATAAATTTTATTTTATTTTGAGAACACAATAAATGAATAAAAGATAATTATTTGTAATTAAGTACTTAATCTAACAAAATAATAATAATAATAATAATAATAAAAAAAGAATTTGTGAAATTGTCATTAATATCTTTTTATTATTATTATTATTATTATTATTATTATTATTATTATTATTATTATTATTATTATTATTATTATTATTATTATTTTAGATGAAGCACTTAATTACAAAACATCTTTTATTCATTTATTGTGTTTCAAAATAAAATAAAATTTATGTATCTGATCTTAAAATGACTTTTATTAAAAAAAATTTTTATGTCAGATATTTCAAATATTATGTTTCCGAGTAGGAAACTGCAAGCTCTTTCAAAATCAAGAAAAAAAAATTGGGGTTATTATTTAAAAAATTTGTCAATGACGTCACTGCCCAAAAACGGGAAGTGGGGAAAAATTGAATTCTATTTAAAAAATTGCGCTTTGAGCAAACAAAATTGACCTGTCCGAGATTTTTTTCGAAAAACCAACTACTTCCATTATAATGAATTTATTCCTTTCATTTGAACCATACTGTATAATGAAACTGAGTTAAGTAATAACGTAACCAGAATAGGAATTAAGAATACTTTATATGAACCTTAACCCTCAACACATTGTGTTACCTACTTATCAACATTCTTATCAACCTGTTAAAGAAACGGATAAATAGAGAATTAGAGAAAATAACCCAAAAGTAAAATAAACATGAAAATCTTTCAGCCGTATGTGATAATTTCGGATTTTAAAAACATAGCTTAATTACTAGTGAGATTTGAACCATGCCTGAATTCAGATAGACGGGTAAATAGATAAATAATTACAAGTTCAAACGAACTTACCTAATTGTGTGTAATTGTAATTTTTCCTTTATAGCTCTACTAGCATTTTCAGTAAATATAAGTAAATTACTAATAATTGATCTACCTCGAACGAAACCGTGCTGTTTATCCACTATGATGTTTTGTACATGATCTAGCAATTTGTTATAATTTGTTCGAAAAGTTTTGAGACAGAGCAATTTATTGCAATTCCTCTACAGTTTTCAATTTCTGATGTTTTCTCTGCTTTATGAATAGGTGTATAATAAGATATTTTCCATTGTGAAGGGAATATAAAACTTTTAATAATAAAATTATAAATATGCAACAAGATATATAGTGGAATATTATCAATTCCTGCTGCCTTTTTTGGCTTTAACTTTTTTATGGCTTTATTAAAATCATTTTCATTTATTTTAGATAATAAACACAAATCAAAATTGGCACAATTATTTATATAATTATTTAAATTATAACTAGTTTTTTTCGAAATTGTGTTCAAAGGAAAAAAATTCAGCAAATTTTTCAGCTACATTTTTTTCAGATACTGCTTTTCCACTTGTAGATAATGTAGATAGTTTAGACTTGCTGTTTTTTCGTTTACTATTTATAAAATTCCAGAATACATTAACATCCGCTAAACTGTCATTTTCAGTTTTTTTTTAAGTAATTTCTGAATATGAAGCCTCGTCGAAATAAATAATAATTGGAGTTTCCTTATTCTTGTACTGAGTCACACGTTATAAACTAAAACTTGAAATTTTTGAGTGAATAATACCCTTATCAATCCCTACGCCAATTTCATAACTTTGTTCTATAGAGTTTTCTTAAAAACCAAAAAAGAATTAGCTATATCCAAGTGGTAATTTAGGGTGTGGCGGGAAATTATCTATTTCGACGAGGCTTCATATAATCAAGATCTAACTTTACTCTGATAAGTTCGTTTGATCTTGTAATTATAACTCAGCCTCGTCTCATAAATAATAAGCAAATTTTATTTTCTCTGCAAATACATATAACAAATTATTTATACAGAGTATAAACTATAAATATAAAGTAAAAAATATAAAAAACTTTTTTTCTTAACACCTTCACAACCGGTTTCATTATTTTTGTGAAGATGTATGAAGCGGAAGATAAGCCAAAAGGCATGGAATTATATTAATATCTGAATTTGCTATACTGAATAAGTATCTTTCAGATCTATTGTGGCCATAAAGACATTTTCATAAACTAAATTTGAAACGGTTCGAAAATCATCGAGTTTAAAATGAAATATCTCTATGTATTTATTTGGTGGTTTAAGATTTAAAATGAGTCTTTTTGAACCATCTGGTTTTAAAGTCAGAAAAATATTAGACAGAAATTGACCCTTTTTGGGTGTACTTCACTTATCCCTCCAGATTCTATTAAGGCCTAAACGGAAGCATACATTTGCCGAAATTCTAATAATTACCACTTCGATTTTTTTGGAGCAACTTTCTGATAAGGGATTTAAATAAATGGTAATTTTACTTCCTTAATCCAGGATAGTATAATTTTGTCTTTAGTAACTTTTCGCCAGCTACTAACCTGTGTTTATATTTTCGATTTTCCTCTCGTCTCCTGTATATTTTCTGTTGGTTTCGAGCTACTTGGAGTTTTCTGTAATTCTGGTTCCTGTAATCCTCTCTTGAACGTTGCCTGAGGCGGACTTCTGAAGTTTTTCGAGATGTATTTTCGTGTTGGGTTGTTCTTTGTTTTCAGTTGTAAGGATGCTTATTGTATATCCTTCAAAATTAGTTCCAAATAACCACTCATATATTGGTGCTTCTGTCAAGCTACCCTAAAAATCCTTATTTAAATTGTAAGCGGCTAATTTTCTTCTTGATAACGTTTCAGTAAGGTTTTTTTCTTCTAAAACATAGACGTCAGTACTGCACCAATGGCTGTTAGGCTTCCACCAATTTCTGCCTGCAAACACTTCAATCTAATGTCCCTACTGTATACCGATTCTGATAATGCAACTATCGCTAGAGGGTTTAATTTTAAAGCTTTAAATATCTGACAGTTGTTGAGCGAAGAATATTTTTTCTTCGATTAATTCACCATTTACTATTCTTAACCATCTGTCCGCTAGCGTCGGTTGTAAAGGAGCCCCAGTAACCTTAGTTTTTTCCACATTTTTACCCAATAAGGCTAAAACATCCTCACTTAAGTCTGTAAGTTTGGAATCCTCGGATGTTGGGGGCTCTTGCCTGTCTGAACATTTTAGAGACAAACATTTTTTAGTTTGTTTTTTTTTTAGAATTAAGATTTAATTTATACTATAAAAGTAATATATTTATGCTATTCCAAGCCTTTAATTATTTATGCTATCACGAACATTTATTTAGATTCTCACAAGCAGTTATTTATTTATTTATTTATTTTGAAAAATTTGTTGATCTATGCTACCACAAGCATTTATTTGTTTATTAATTTTTGTTATCTAAATAATTTATATATGCTATTCCCTGCATTTATTGCCATCACAAGCATTTTGCTATCACAAGCAATTATTTAGGCTATCTCAAGCATATGCTAATACTATTACAAGCAATAATTTACTTATGCTATCCCAAGCATTAATTGTGCTATCAAAAGCACATATTACAGTATATTCTCTGAAGATCAAAAAGAAATGCCAATTATGAAACCGCTTGTCTTTAACAATTTCTTTATCTTCAGAGCCAGAAAAAACGTATTCACTATGTGCCACGTGATGAGGATGTACTTATTCACTGTAAATATTAGAATATTTCAAATCACTTTTCTTCTCCCGTTCTTGTAAGTTGTTTAGTTTCTTTTAACTTATTAATTTGTTTTCCTAAATCACTCTTATTTTCAGTTCGGCGTCGTTTTTTTGAATTTTAAGGGCATTTTTCACTCAAATTGGCAACTAAAATTCACTTAAATTGTAAATTGATGTTAA